AAAACCAAAACATGATGAGTGACACTGAACCGTCAAACATCAAGTAACAAATGGATTAACACTTTGATTTGTCGTTAATTGCACATGTCGGCATTCAGTTGTATATTTTCAAGCACACAGACACGCAGGAACCGCTGCAACAAGCACGAAATGTGGTTGGTTGCAAAAAACAGTTCCCTGCTGTCGCCTGATCTGACACTGATCATTTTGCATATTTCCTTAAGAAATTTAAGGGTGTTGGGGTCCATCGGGCCAAGAACCTCGATGCATATTGGCAAGAATTCCATCGAGGGGAGGGCATTCCCATATTTTTTCATTGTATGTATGTATGTATGTATGTATGTATGTATGTATGTTAAAACCAAAACATGATGAGTGACACTGAACCGTCAAACATCAAGTAACAAATGGATTAACACTTTGATTTGTCGTTAATTGCACATGTCGGCATTCAGTTGGATATTTTCAAGCACACAGACACGCAGGAACCGCTGCAACAAGCACGAAATGTGGTTGGTTGCAAAAAACAGTTCCCTGATCTGACACTGATCCTTTTGCCTATTTCCTTAAGAAATTTAAGGGTGTTGGGGTCCATCGGGCCGAGAACCTCGATGCATATTGGCAAGAATTCCATCGAGGGGAGGGCATTCCCATATTTTTTCATTTTCTCGTCCGCTGCCCTGGCCGCGGCCAAACCGCATTCTTTACTTGTCAGGTTTACGTATCGTTCGGCGAGGGTGCCAGTGACCGTAACATCCCACGCCAAACATCTGCCGGCTCTCCAAGGTATTAGCGTGCATCCGTCCGGTCGCCTACCATCATGCGCAGAAATGCCGGATGGTTCCTTGAGAACCGGGATTGAAGCCTTGGAGAAGAGCCGACAAATGTAATCGTTTAGCGCTGAGTGACGTAGTTGACGGCCCCCACCCAGGCGACAAACCAAACCGTGGTGCCCAAACTCGTTCGCCTCAGCGCCACATCGGCACGTGTATTTATTTTGAATGACCAGGCCAAGTCTGAAGCCAATGGCAAATCTTACAGACTCGTCGTCAAGCCTGGTGCCCACAGAGGTGTTAGGCCACGATCTCAACCACCCACAGCTGGCAACGCTGGACATGGCCAACAAACGAGCGGTGGAAAAGTCGTCGCCGCATGAAGACAACAAATTTTGAAAGATTTTTTTATATTCTTCGTTCAAAATTTGGACGTGCGTACGGTCCCCCGGGGCGGACGCTGGGGG